GAGACCTCCCCCTCCAGGGGCGATGACCACACCACAGTCCCTTCTCCTCTACTCTCCTCTCGGAAATTTTGGCACACATACACACAAGCCCGGCATAAATTTGAAGCCTCCGAGTCCAGGACTTGAACCACAATTAACTGCATGGGAGTACAGCAATGTAACCATTACACCATCTGTGGGCTCCAGTGTGAACTTTTTAATTGCCAATATCTTTGTGTGGCAGTGTGAACTTTTTAATTGCCAATATCTTTGCGTGGTCATCAGAGAGAGAAAGAGAGAGACAGACAGAGAGAAATCACACTCCAAAGGACCAGAGTCATGCTACAATCCTTTCTTGTACATTTCTCCATCCATCAGGATTTAGGGCATGAATGGACACACACCTGAGTGTTTTTCAAGCTACTGAGGACAGGATTCAAACTATGGTTGGATATGTGGGATCTGGCTCCCAATGCACAGTACTTAATCACTGCATTCTGGAATCATCCTGCTCTACTCCAAAAACACCCCCTTTTTTTTTTTGGAGAGATTTTCACTGTAGGGCGCGTGCGCTCGCCAGACAGACAGAGAGAGACATAGAGACAGAAAGCGAGAAATCACCCCCCAGGGGGAATGGTCACGCCGCAATCCCTTCTCCTCCATTCTCCTCTCGGGATCTTGGGCACGCACGCACACGCGCCCGGCGTGAGTTTTAAGTCACCGGGTCCGGGACACGAACCGCGGTCGACTACGTGGGAGTCCAGCGATATAGCCATTACGCTAACTGCTGGTTCCCAACACCCCCTATTTTTAAGGCAGTTCTAAAGCCAAATATTTTAAATAATGCACATAATCACTTCCTATTCCACCCTCCACCACACACACATACCCTGGCCCACTTGTTCTGTTGTTCAGCCTTTGTATCTCCCATATCCTTAAGGCAGGTTGCAACCCAATGGGAAGTATGCACGGACTCCACCATGGAGGCCAAAAGACAGCTGCTGACCCTCAACTACTGTTTCTAGGTCCCCGTCGATCTCTGTGGTGGGGCTGGGTAACACAAACTTTCTTCACACTCTATTTTCCCACAGAAAGGCTTGAAGTGAAATATTGTCATGTTGGAGCATGTTTTCCTTTTTGAGTCCAGCAATATTTTCATCCAAAAAGTTGGAAAAAAATTAGACTAATAATTTTATATGCCATTCTAAGATTCCCTTTTTCTCTTTGACCATAGATGACAAATTAAAATGGCCAATTCTGGAACCAATAGTTGGTGTAATGGCTATGTCACTGGACTCCCATGTAGTCGACCACAGTTTGAGTCCCAGACCCAGTGGCTTAAACTCACGCTGGGCACGTATGTGTGCATGCCCAGGATCCCAAGAGGAGAATGAAGGAGAAGCAATTGTGGCATGGTCATCCTCGTGGGGGGTGATTCTTGCATTCTGTCTCTGTCTTTCTGGCGAGCTCACACCCTATAGCAAAACCTCTCCAAAAAACAAAAAGAAGGCCAATTCCAAATATGTAATAAAGAATTACTTATGACAATAATATCAATATAATTATTGTTGTTGGAAAAGTCATGGCATATTTTTTCTATGTCAAAATGCATCATGAGTTTTCCAACAACTTGGTACAAGAGAGATTAAAATATTTTCCTTATTATTTGAAATAGCTATTAACTTCCTGGAAATCTTTAGAATAAAAGAAAATGGAATTTGTTAGAAATAATGTCTTGGAAAATGTAAAATTAACATTTTTATTCACAATTATGAAGGGCAAGGTTTTCATGCCTTTCTACTATTCAGATATAAAATCTCTGATTCAAATCAGTAGGATTTCTTGACAAAATCTTTAAAGCTCATTATATAAATGCTAAAAATCTGGTGTAATTTCCAAGCAGTAGTATTCTTTGAAAGCATCTCCTCCATGAAAGGCAGCATTCAGAATCTGTATCTACATATAGATATATAAACTATGTAAAGGGTCTAATGGAAGATATGATTTTTTTTTGTTAATAATTTGCTTCAGGGAATGTGCACTCTACCAGAGAGAAGAGAGGGGAGAAGGAAAGGGGAGAAAAGTGAGAAAGAACCCCTACTTTGTGGGGGATGGCCACTCCACAATCCCTTCTCTTCCATTCTCTTCTTGAGATTTTAGGCACACATGCATACGCGTCTAGCCTGTATCTCAGGATGATGAGTCTGGGACCTGAACTGCGCGGCTGGACATGTGGACTCCAGATGCTTTAACTTCCATGACACCAGCTGGCCCAAGATATGAAAGATTTTAATCCAGAGGAAAGTTCTGGCAATATTGTGAGGGTTTTTCATGATCTTCCCTGACTTAGAATGACATCACCAGGACAGGCCTGTGTCTGGGCAGCCTCGTGATTCAGCGCTCCCCATCACTTATTCCATAAACACCCTCTTTGACTAGGGTGGGCTGGGCTATAATGTCCTAACATTTCACATTCATACACAAAAGCATCTGGACTGTTCCCTCAGGCGCTGACCAGCTGGGTTCCTGGTGCAGGATCCCTATGATCCCTCCACTCACCCTTCCTCTCAGCGGCCTCGGCCCTGGTCAGGTAGTGGTAGAAGTGATCCAGTTTATCTGGCTGCTCCTCCAGGGGCTTCTGCAGCCAGAAGATGGACCTGCGTTTCGCAGCCTCCCGCAGGGAATCCCACTGCTCCATCAGAGCGAAGAGCTCAGTGAAGGACTTGTGATACCCATCTTGCAGCATGTCCACGCAGATGTTCTTCGAGTACGTGTTCCTGTAACTGCGGACGAGAAGCAGGACGCTCAACGCTTGACTTAATCTTTGCACTCTGTGCAGGGTTTTCATTCTCTTATAATTAAAGGGTGAATCTCACTGTCTTTTTTTTTTTCTTTCTCCCATTGAAAGCACACTGAGAACTATCAAAAGATCTTTGCCTCAAACACTTATAATTGAACAACTTCAGTTTAATGAAAGATGCCAGGAGCTATCTCAATACAGTAATTTTAATGAAATTACATTATAAATATGTCAGTTCCAGAGCAGGGCTCTCTTTGATAAGGACAAATAAGCTAGTTGACTGACAAGATTCAAGAATACCAGTAGACCAGCCTCTTACTACACTTCCTATTCCTCAAAAAACACAAAAATTCCATTAAGCCAAGCAAAACTCTAACTTGCCATTTAATATCAAAACAATGCACTCTAGACATTGGGTAGTTTCATTCTATGCTATGGAAATTCCTAATTCATTCTTTCATTTCATAAGGAAAATATTTATTGAAATCTCTTACTAAGTACATTTTTAAAGGTTTTTGCTATAAAGAACATGCACTTTCTCAGAGAGAGACAGAGAGGGAAAGTGAGAAATTCCAGGTAGGATGGTGGTGCTCTTTTCCTCTCAGGAGTTTGGGCACACATGTACCCAGCATGATTTTCAAACCACCGGGTCCAGGACTTGAACCATAGTCAGCCATGTGAAATCCAGTGTCTTAACCACCACACCACTGGCTGGCCATCTAGGACTTGAACCCTAGTCAGCCATGTGAGATCCAGTGTCTTAACCACCACACCACTGGCTGGCCCCACTAAATAACATTTTAAAAACTATTTTCATGGTCAACCCTTATTCATATCCCATCCCTGGTGGCTTAAAAAGCATTCATAGCATAGCACACATGCATGTGTACCCCATAGCATGAGAGGATGAAAAATGGAGGAAAAATTATTGTGGTGTGACCATTTCTCATTGAGGGAGGTGTGAGGTGGGGGCAGAGATGGGATCTCTTTCTCTCTGGTGATCATGCACACCCTCTGAGAAGAAAAAAATAATTTGAATGTGGAGTGGAAACAGCCCAGAACTAGTCAGAATACCTGAAGCAGGGCCCAGTTTTACCTAAACCTCCCTGGACTTCATTTCTTCTAATCTGCAAGATGTGTATGTTAATATGAGTGGACTTGAATGAGTTTATGGGAAAATAGAATAAGGTACACATTTATTTTGGTGCAACATTTTCTGAAATTCATGCCTAGTTTCTCCCCAATACACTTTTCCATGAACTTGTTGAAGACCGCACATATATACCCTACCTATTCCACAGGATTCTTCTAGGCACCAAATGAAATCCTCCTCCCAGCAGTGTAAAACCCACTCTACTGCTTCTCAGTTCTTGGCTATGCAAGAGATTCATCCATAAAGTTAAAAAATAAATAAATAAATAAATAAATAATGTCCAGGCTCCATCTGGCAAGGATCTCTTATTCAGTGGATTAGATTAGGCATAGAACAAAACCAAGAGTGGGAAGGAGAGTGTGAGATACAAAGTTTACAAGAAAGGCAGGGCCCAGATCACGAAAACATCTCAATGAAGCAAAGGCGAGAAGTCTGGACCCAAGAGCCACTGGGAAGAGTATGTCAGGGACTGACAGGGTGAGATCACTTTTTTTCTTTGCTTGCTTGGTTTGGAGCTCTAGTGTCCTCCTCCCTCAGGGCAGGGCTTTCCTTATTACAGCAAGAGCTTCACCAAGGCCACTCCACCAGCCAGTTGAAGTCCAACCAGTTTCTAAAGGGGAGGGTACATTTTAGTATCTGGAAGGGGTGTCCCAGCTGCACTGCAACCCTCTCCCACAGGCAGCCAAATTGTTAGAGAAATAGCTCACAAAGAGAAAAAAGAAACCATGCTCCTAAGATCAAGTCACCCTTTAGTACGAGACCAAGAAATAGGTGAAATGGGGAAGAGAAAAGGAGTAGTGGTTTTTGCCTGTGCCAGCTCTCCAGTCGAGAGAGAATCTGGAGAACAAGAATCTGGAGAAGGCTCCACAGGATGCTAGGAAGAGCTTGTTCCTCCCTCCCCACTCCCCCACCAATCAAACCCTGGAGGGGATCCAAGAGGACACTAGAGTCAACAGCTATTGAAATCCAGGGGGACCTAAGAGTAGAAAACACTCATGCTTTCCCACTGAGAGTCTTGAAGGAAGGATGATCAAACCCTACTACCTGAAGGAATGGAAAGACAGAAGTTACTGCATAGGGTTTCCAGGCAAAGAGGACCGAGCTGGCCCAGCAATCCTCCAGCCCCAGAATGGTATAAAAAGAGTACTGTGTTATTCCAGTGGGCTCCGTGTGGGACACACAAGTTACTGAAAGAGGAGGACTGACATGTTTGTTATGATGTCAGCTGGTCCCATCTGTGCTAAAAGGCTGTTGTTCATGGACTGCCCACTGGGGACTGAAGGAAGACACAGTTACGGCTCTGAGCAGCCCTGGAGAGCACCCGAAGTGGTCAAGCCAGATTGTCTGCAGAGCTGGTGGAATAAGAATAGATCAAGATCTTCGAGGATGGGTGCCTCCCTGTCTGGGATCCCCTAGGCTACCAATGCAGTCAGTTACAAGGAAGAGAAAACTTGCCTCCAGTCCCTTCACAAATGGAGGCTTCTGTTTTCTGCCTAAAGTGAGGCAGCTGAGGGCCTTGGTTCAGTGGCCTGGGAAGGCCCATATCTTTGGGATTATCTTGACCTTTTCCTCTTGCCTGTCCCCTGCTGGTCTCTACAAGGCTGCTGCAGCTCCAGGTAGCATGTCCACCTTCAAAAGACGACTGGGGAAAGTGGGGTGGCATCCATTGTTTCTTTCCCAATTTTTGGAAACACAAAAGCATCCCTGCCACTACCGCTACTGGATCTCCACTCTGGTCCTGTTGGCCAGAACTGTAGCATCCGTCCCCAGCTCCCTGGCTGCAAGGAGTCTGGATAACTGTTATTCTGCCCACTCTCAGGCACACTGATGCCTGAATCAAAACTGGAGTTTTAGGCTAACAAAGAGGGGGAGAACAGATACTGGATAGGCAAATGCAGTGACAATGACGACACCTTAGATCAAGGTCTGAAAGTAAATACTGTCACAACCCACAACCCCATCCCTTAGTACTCCCTCTCCTTCCCCCACACACCAGGGTTGCCAAATAAAATACAGAATGCCCAGTTGAAGTTGAATATCAGATAAACACTGAACGATTTTTCATTGGGTCATCAGAAAAGTCGCGGTGTATTTTTCTATGTTTTTCTATGCTAAAATGCATCATGACTTTTCTGATGACCCAATAGTACCAATATACCCCAAATATTGCATGGGACATGCTTGTACTAAAAAAAAATGCATCATGACTTTTCTGATGACCCAATAGTGCCAATATACCCCAAATATTGCATGGGACAAAAAAGTTTCTTGTTTTTAAAACCCCAATTCAACTGTATGTCCTATATTTTAATTTGCTAAATTTAGTAGCTCTCAGCCCCTCTAGCCCCCAGCAGTGCGCTGCTGTTTCTATATAAGAAAATAGGGTGAGGGGAAGAGGTTTCAGAATCTTAAATAACCTGAAAAACTGCCGAATTGGACTGACTTCACCTGAGAGCGACAAGATTGGATTTTTACACTAGGGAGGATCAAGGCTCAGGGCCAGGAATTAAAATTAAGTTATAAAAAAATAAAGACTTTCGATTTAGCATCCTTGAGCCTGTGACTCTGAAATTCACACCTGGTCCAAGAGAAGGGATAGGAGGAGAGGAAATCTGGAGGTGGGAGAACGGATGGGAGATTTTGGTGGTCTTGGGAAAAAGTGGCAATTGGGGTTGGAACCAGGGTATACGTGGGGGATGAAAAGACGTAGGTGGATTTAAACACATTCAAAGTGGCAATTGGGGTTGGAACCAGGGTATAAGTGGGGGATGAAAAGACATAGGTGGATTCAAACACATTTAGGAAATGAAAGTTTTGATTACTCCCTGGTGACTGAATGGGTGGTGGAGGCTGCGGGAAAGGTAAAGCTAGGATGACAGCCAGGTTTGGGGACTGGGTACCAGGTAATGCTAATTTGCTAAAGAGGGGAACATGAAAGGATGACCAGGTTTGGGGAGATAATGAGTTTGAGTGCAGATAATTCAAGATTTGAAGAGCCTGATGGGACATTGAAGTGGTGGCCTCGGAAGCTCCAGAGGACAAGGGGCCAGACATCCAGACTGGCTTTGAACAAGCAATCCCATCTCTGTATGTCTGTGCATTGGTTGTCGGCATGTATTCCTATGAGTGACAGAAGTGTTCTGGACAAAAATAAAATCATAAATAAATAAAAGTTACAACATTGGCTTTAAACAATAAAAATAAGCACAAGGTAGGGCAATTCAGAGTCCGTCACAATTCTAACCCCAGCTGGGACAGAAATGCAGAAAATTGTTCTCTGGGCATTATTTTCCTTACTTAGAGGATGAGGTGTGTTTTTTTGTTTGTTTGCTTTTTACTTTTTCCTCTTTATTCATGATAGAACATAGCGAGATAGAGAGAGAGGAAAGCACCTTCTACAGGTCTGGTCAAGCCACGATCCCCTTCCCCTCCTCCATCCTTGAGCCCGTCAGATCTTGGACACTCAGCTGTGCATGACTTGTTTCAGGCCAACCAGGCCATGGGTTCAAACGGGGATCACCACGTGGGATCTGGTTTCCCGTGAGCAGCCCTTAACAGCTGCACCCCCCGAGTCAGGCCAACGCAGGTGCTTTTGCAGGTTCTGGTCCACCCTATACCTAATTCCACTTCCACATTTTAAGGCAGCACTCCACAACACTTCTGGAAATAACCAGTCCCCATTGTGCGTATCTTCAAAAACTCCCTAGCCAGCAGTGGTTATTGGTCCAAGTTAGGTCAACTGATTTGTCCTCTAATATTTTGGACCTTGAAATAAGCAATGCAAGGGTATAAGGGGCTCCTGGAGCTTAATTAATCTGGCATTGGTGTCT